TTGTTGTTTTAAACTTGAGTATGAACTTATACAAAATGCAGCAAGATATTTTAAAAAAAAACCAGTTTTGTTGATTAAAAAACACTATATTGGATTCATATCGGTATCGGCAGATATCCAAATTTATGATATCGGAATCGGTATCGGACATAAAAAAGTGGTATCGTGCCATCTCTAGAATACACCCCAACCCAGCACCAGAGCCTGAACTGGTAACAAAGGCAGTGATGAACAGTTCATTCATAAATCTGTGATATAGTTTGTTTAATTTGCATCTGTATTTCACTTCCTTTGAATAACGTAATTTATCTAGTTTCACACTGAGGTTTGAATTTTAGCTCATTGGTTTCTTTCTTTATCCATAGGGTCTAATATGATGTCATCCTACCCTGTGCAGCTACAGGTTTGAGCTGGTAAGGTCAGACACCAGTGTTGGATGAGAAGCCCTGGCTTATAGTCTCTGCTCTAATTAATTTCAGAGGTGTTCTTTCAGGTGCAGGCCGTGTTATTACTGGTCCATAACAATTCCTGGTCTCTTCTACTCAGGGCAGGCCACTTGCTTGTAATACACCTCGTCTTGAGCTGCATACTTCACATCTGTGTGACGAGTCTGTGTCCGCAGTGCTCTCCATATTCTCTGCGAACTTTTTGCTTCTGTAAAAACTTTCTTGATGCATCTAAAGCACAAGTGTGACTTGCTGTCACGGCTCAACGGCACAAGGGAACAGGGATGGACACAGGCGCAGAAACCAACCCGGAAGCGAGGTGACAGAAAACAAATGATTTATTTCCGCCCACAGGTAAACAAAGGTGAAACACAAAGCGACGCCACCACACTAGTGGCGCGTAGGATTCGTCGGTGATAATGAGGGCGACCTAGACACCTCTAGGAGACGGCTGAACAGCGGGGACAGCGGGGAGGTAGAAACAGGACTAGGTAGGGGCCGGGGCACTGGAACAAGAGGAGATCACGATCAGAGGGATCCAGCAGACAACCAATAATCCTCCGCAGTTGAATTGAATTGCCTTACTTGGTTTCAGATGGAGGGGACAGGTGGAGCGGAAAACCCGGAAGCGGTCGAGGCGTGGGGAGGCAGGCAGGTGAGCGGTGGGCCGGCAGGCCACGTTGTGTAAGCAGCTGGCGGCCCAGGTCCAGGAGGACGGGAGCGAGGGGAACAAGATCTCCACTCCGGGTGCTATCGCTGAGGACAAGAAAAGACAGGTCAGTCATCACACGGCGTTAAGACAAGGTTTAGGATGCTCCACTGAACTAACATGGGAATAGCAGATACTCAGGCGATGAGTGGTTGAGAGCGCAGGTCTGATATACCGCTGGCACGATTGCTCACAGGTGGTCAGCCAGGGAGGGGCAACCGGACTCCGCCTAAAGGAGGAGGAGCCGCTGTCCGAGACCTGCAGGTGCCCAACCAGACCATGACACTTGCTGCCTAGAAGGCACAGCAAGGAGTGTTGTATTGTAGCCAAAAATGTGTTCTTTGCCATAAGAGCCCAGTCCATTGCAGTGTTCCACTGGCAGCAGTTACTTGCCTTGACATTTTTATTTCTGGGAGTTCTTGATTGCGTTCCTCAAGCAGTCCATTACTCCATGGGCCGTATGCAGCTGTTGTCTTTACCTCTGTGTTGAAATTTTCTGCCATGTCTCTCACGTCATTGTCATTAAACTCTCCCCCATTGTCACTAAGTTGTTTGAGAGGAGCCACGTGCACGCATCGCGTCATGAACAAAGTGTTTGACAATTTCAAAACATTTCTGTGAGTTTAGGATTCTGCCTGCACTAAACTGGTCAATAATGTGGGGATACCACTCATGGTTAAAGTTCACACAGTTCCACAGACACAGTCTCATTGTATTCAGATGTTGGTGTTGCTAGTGCGAGTTTTCTTGTGTCTTTGACATATCAATATTCACAAACAGTTTTCTGCAGGATTGTGTGGCATTCTGCATCGTTGTCCTAAGCTTTTTAAAGTCACATGTAATCGTGATTCCCGTTTAAATCTTACAGGAAAAAGTAGAATAAAGTTACTCTGTGATGTTTTTTCAACTTGTTTCAATTTTAACGATTCCGTTTTTTGAGCAGAAGGTGTCCTGCTTGCCGTGGTGCTGGGGACAGGAGCTCGGTGAGGGGGCGCTCCTGGCACAACCCCCCTTTGTGTGAAGATGCACCAGCACTGCTGCCCGGTCAAAGTCTTCAATATCATGAGCAACCTCAAACTGTCACCGTGTAAAAGTGGCTCGACACCAAGACACTCACCACTAAGCATGTGCAGCAGGTGCTGCGGTGGAGGGACTAGATTCAGGTGAAACGCTCAGCCGGCTTTTAAACCCGCAGCTCTGTCTTTACCTGATCATTTTTTCCAAATTTAGATTTCTTTGACTGCCAACATTAAGACCGCCAACACTACACGAAGGTGGTGGGAGGGGCACACAGCCTAACAGGACGCTGCTCAGGAGGACGCAGAGACAGCGTGATGGAGGCTGGACTGGGTTCTGCTGCGTACCCGAGGTCATCACAGGTATGTCATCATCGGTGCTGCCGGACTGCGTTTGAACCTCTGAGGAGGTCTTTCTTTTTCTCATGATGAGATGGTGACACTCTCTGATTATCCCATATGATCATGAAGCATCCTGAAAGAAAACATTCAGCTTTTCGAGCAGCTGTGGCTGCAGATGTTTGCTCTGTGTCAGCTGACCTGTGTTGTGGTGGTTTCTGTGTGAACAGGGGCGGAGGGCTTCTACCAGTAACGAGTCAGGCAGGAGCTGAAGTGGTGCGTCGATGTGGAGAGTAGGTCAGCAGAAGGAGAGCACATGTGGTACAGACATACACATAATCCTTAACATCCTGAACTAAAATGAACCACCAAAACAAACTGAAGGAGGGTATGTTGCGATTGTTCCCAGGATGGCTGGTGTGTGCAGAGTAGATACCTTGTGAAGGGACACTAGAGGGAACATACTGGCGATTGGGGGTTACGGCATCTCTCTTTGTGGGTTACAGGACGCATGTCTGGAAGCGATAGTGAAGTTAAATTGTGTGAAAAAAAAGGAGACCATCTGGCTTGTCCAGCGTTGAGTTGGTTTGCCGTCTGTCGTTTGGGTTCGTTGACTATTTTACCCACCTGCACATCAAAGTAAATCATAAAGTCACGTGGCCGCTGAAAGACTACACCGTAAAAAAAAATCCTAAAAAAACAGTTATATTCCAGCAACTGGGGCGCCAAAAAAATACCGGAAAATAACGTTCTCATGAAAATACGGTTATTTTCAGTAATGACAATACAGTTTGTTGCCCTACTTTTACATGGGCTTTTGCCTTTTTCAATTGCTTTTAAACATTAAATTAGGAACATTTTAACGTGATTAAACAATGAAATTACCTATAATCAAGGTCATTGAATGCAGCAATATGAATAATAATACTTAAATGTACAGAAACATACAGTTAACTAATAATGGATTGCATTCATATAGCGCTTTATAATTCCCCTCTGGCCGTCACCAGTAGGGGAAGTGTCTTGCCCAAGGACACAACGACCCAAAGTGTCCGAGCCGGGGCTCGAACCGGCAACCTTCTGATTACAAGGCGAACTGCCAACTCTTGAGCCACGATCGCCCTAAATAGCAATAATAGTAATTATTATGTGATTTTTAAAAAGTTTATACGAATCATTTTATATATTTTTCCATAGCATTACATTTGTCATGGTGTCCGTGCCTGCCCGGACGGCCCCACAAGGCTACATTTGCTGTTTCGGTTCTCTCCCTCTCTGCCTGGGCGGAGCTAACTGTGGGCTCCCGCCCTTGGCCAACACACCTGACAACAATCACCTGTCATCACCGAGAGCACTATTTGAGGCTGGAACACAGAGCCTCTCGTCGCTGGATGATTGTACTACTGACGTTAGTGTTCTCACAGCTCCTGTGGATTTGTGCTTCGTGATTTGTGATTAGTTTGTGACTTCCCTTCTCTTCTGCTTCAGACCTTCCCCCCCGGACCTGCGACCTCCCTGCCGTGTGAACGTGTGTGAGTGTGGGCAAGAGGACGTGAGCGAGTGTGAGAGAGCTACCCTGTGATTCCCTGGAGTTTTGGATTCCCTTCACTGTATACAGTATATATTGTGCACTGGAACTGTAAATAACTGCATTTTGGAGACATCTAACCGCTCTGCGTTTGAGTCCCTATAACCAGATCGTGACAACATTTGAATTTAAATGTTCAATCTTTCAAATAACGGACAGATATTTGTGAAATCATGACACATTTCTGAATTGTTGTCGGAGTGTTAAAGAACAGCTTTGAAATTCTCATGAGTTGTTCGCATAAAAGAAAAATCAACATCATAATGCGGCTATCCCTTCGGCGCCAGCTGTGGGCTGAAGGCTGGAGCCGAACAAAAACACCCTGATAACGACTGTGTTTAGACTCTTCTTCCCACTCAATGCAAGGCCACCTTGTTGGCTGGTAGACTTTACTTAGCCTGGTAGGGCAAAGGACACTGTCTCCGCTGAACTATGGACCAAGGTTTTAATAGTTTTGCAATTTTCATTAGTTTTTATTTTTATTTAGTTTTGACTTCAGATTTTCAATTCTATATCAGTTTTAATTAGTTTTTACCATTTGTTTGGTAGTTTAGTTGAGTTTTTATTTTTTGAAAATCCTTCGTTTCAGTTTAGTTTTTATTAGTTATAGTTTTAGTCTTGTTTGCAAAATGAGCCACATACCAGGGGCAAGACTGGTTTTTTTTTTTCTTTCTTTATTATTATTATTATTATTATTATTATTATTATTATTATTATTATTATTATTATTTACTGTTTGCCAGTTTTAGATCTGTTTTCTTTTTATGGTTCAAGGCACAAATTAGTTGAATAGGAAATCTACAATTAATATAAGGTTGCAAGCATCATAAGGAGTTTTATTTATCATTGTTATGATCACAGACAGTTTTGCAAACACTCAAAGACTGAAATGCGAAGCACTACTGTACGATATGTTTTATAAATGAAACGTGGAATAACATGACAATAACAGAATAACATGAAGACCACTTCAAGAGCACATTGTGCAAGTGGAGAATGATTGCACTTTAATGCAAATTTAATCCAACGGTCATGAAACGGTGTGAAAAAGTCAAAGGCTACACAAAGACCATATTTACTGAAGGACTGAACAAATGCAAAACGTGTATAACTTTGCATACTTTAGCTTTTTATAGCTCCACTTCTTCCTCCACATGTTCATCGCTAATTACGTCCCGTGTTCATGGAGCCATTATTTATCACGGTTTTTGACTCACTTTCGCTTTTGTTTTTAAATGCAGACATCTTGAAAATCTGATAAATGCAGCAAAAACTTCTTCCAGTCTCCTCCCAGTTTCAGGTGAGGGGCGGGACCCTGAGCACGTTATAAAAAGGTAGTGCGCGTCCCTGAACTGACAGTTTCCCAATCAACAGGTAAACAAAATTTTCTCACAGCAGGTGAGTTTTGTTCACTTAAATGTCACACTGGAAAATGGAAAATACAATTTTTTAAAATAATATTTGTTTTAATAATTGTACATTTTACCACATATATTTATTCTATGGCTGTCAATAAATTTCAATTATATTTTTGTTATAAATAGTACTTTTGTGTCACGTGATTCACAATCGGTCGAGAGAGGGGCGCAGGTGAGGCAGCAAAGTAACCTGGGAGCTCTTCAGGATGGAGGTCAAGTGGAAGGCCGCAGCTCTCCTCTTCGCTCTTTGGTGTTGCTGCGGTAAGTTAAGTCAACTTCTATTCTAAACTCAGTTGTTTTAGCTCGCTGTTCACACTCGAGGAAAAAAGATTTCTCATGCGGTTTTAATTCAATTTTGCAGATGCTCAGCGCATAACCTCCGTGTCCCCACGCATAGGAAGCGTCAATGGAGCCACACGACTCACCATTCAAGGAGATGATAGGAGATCCGTAATGAGGTTTAGAAGTAAATTTAAAAAGTAGTGTGGGCATTATTTTACTTTGTAAAACAAGTTATGATGGATTCTTAGATATAAGTCAATTTTAAGCTATTCTGTAGCTAAAAGATGCAGCTGAAGAAGATTTGTTAATGCAGTTGTAACTGTCCTGAGAGTCCTTGTGCCTGCTGGCCTGGTGGGATGATGCTGAAAGATGTGACTCTAAGCCTCAAAAACAATTACCTTCTGAGATTTTGTTGCCCCCTTTTTTCCCTTCCAGGTTTTGCACAGGAGCGGCAGTTCCAGCTGAATCCAGTAGACGACATGTTTGGAAACCGTGTGACCCTGGTGTCAAACACCCTGTCAGTCCCCTGTGATGTGGAGAGAGACTCCACACACCGCAACCAGATTATGTGCTACACCAGGTACAGTCCAGGCATACTTTAGCAGCACGTCTGTATTTACTTATTTCACAAGTTACTTAATTATTTCAGAGGCACTTTATATTGTCACTTAAAGACCCTACAATAATACAGAAAAAAACCCAACAATCGGACGAAAAGCTATGAGCAAATACTTGGCAACAGCAGGATAAAAAACTCCATTTTAACAGGAAGAAACCTACGGCAAAGCCAGGCTCAGGGGAGGCGCAGTCATCTGCTGCAAGTGGTTGGGGGTGAGGGAAGGGAGACAGGAAATAAAACACTTTGCCTAAAATAAATTCCCCTCTGAGCGCCCCTAGTCGTCCTTGTGAATAAAAGATTAATTAACTTTCTAGATAACTTAGCTATAATAGCTGTTGTTTAATACTGGTTAATTGATTAGTCCTTGCATATTGGCTCTTTTTTTTTTTTTTTTTGTTAAAAAAAGACTGTTAAAAAAAATGGAAATAATTAAGTGTAACAAAATCCCAGTTTCATCATATCCATCCATCTTCCACTTATCCTTGGATAGGTTGCTATTCCAGCTACCATACCCTGGTGCACCCTGGACAGGTCACCAGTCTGTCGCAGGGCTAACACATAGAGACAGACAACCCACATTCCCACCAGGCAACTATAAATGATATATGGCTTTAATATTTAGTAGACACATTTACAACAGCATCTGAAAAGCAGGTAGTGTAGATAAACAGAGCTTAGCCAACTCTAAAGTAACTTGGATGAAATTTAATTTAAACATTAGGAAGCCCAACATTCAATGCTGGCATTACAGCTGTGATAAAACACTGCAACTGACTAGCAATACAATAACACAACACAAAAGCCAAGCCATCATGAGTAAATTTTAAGTGTTTAGTTATACATTAGTAAAACATAAAAAAAAGCAACAAAAAAAAAAAAGCACTGAACTGAACTGCAAGTGTTGATCTAAAGGAAAACTCGCTGCTCCAGAGATGTGGTTGTTCAGTTTCTCAGCCCAAATGACAGGAGTCCACACAGAAAAGATGCGTTCCACAAATGCTTGTGAAGCAGGGGCACTAACAAGATCTAAAGCTACTGGGGCAAGTTTTGGATAGACATCCTGTCTTGCTTTCCAGAAATGCAGCGATGCTGTATCTGGTGACTGAAGAATCAGTGAAACATTTGGATCCAGCAGGCAGGCTCCTGCTGGTGTAGCATCAAACTGTGTGGAATCAGGATTAAGAATACCAGCAAACCGTTCCCTTAATTAAAGACTTCAGAAGCACTTGAGCTAAAGGATTCCTAAAAGGACTCGTCAGCAGATGTGCCTCAAGGTTGAGCAGACATGGCACTACTTGTGAGAGTGACTGGCTGTCACTCTGAAGCTGGTCTGTATGAATGGCAAAGGGTTCAAACAGCTTGACAAGGTTCTCCAGCTTGGCCCAATCACTTGTGAGAAGTATCCATCTCCAGCTGCTCAAGCAGTTGGTTTAGTTCAGCTCTGGTTTCTAGCAGTTGTCTCAACATGTCAAAAGTACTGTTCCAACGAGTGGTACAATCCCGGATCAGAGTTTTGCCACACCTTTTGATCATTTCTTCATTTGCCACTGATGATTTTCTTACAGCATGTACCAGTTTTCTTGCTTTAGTTATGACTGAATCAGCAGTCGGGTGTTTCATGGCATCTTTGATTGTGAGCTGGAGAGTGTGTGCTAGGCACGGCATTCTGTGGAACTTGCTGCTCTCCCCATATTCTTGCAGCTCAAGGTCTTAAAAAAACAAAACAGACAATTATAAAACATGTAAACATTATAAACATAGAAGCAATAGTCTAAAAATGTTGTTATATTTCCACTTGAGGTATGTATTTGATTTAATAAAAACTATTTCGTAAACTATGGACATTAGCTCTGTGCTGCAGGTCTCTTAGGTAAGCAGACCTGTTTCAATACGTTTTACTTCTTAATAGTGTTATCCCCATAGCCATGAGTAGGATCACAGCAGAAGCACCGATTAAAGCTTTTACTGGGGATTGTGAGTAATGTGGGCAGCCTTTTATGTGAATTGACTATGTGCACGTTAGCATATGCTACTTCCGGTGCGGAAACTCCTGTGGGGAGCTTTGTTTCCGGTGTCCTATTCGCGCCTGGTTTACGGTCCAAAACAAGTTAAGCAAATGAATGAATCAAGCCGCGATTTACATTTCTATAGATGTCTTGGGCATTTACCCAATATATCTGTAAATGATGTTCATCGACTTGTCGATATTTTTCCCCTGCGCCTCAGAGCAAAAGAGAAAATATTCAAATGTTATATTTCTCAGTATCTGTATACAGCGGTCCCTCGTTTATCGCAGGTGTTATGTTCTAAAAATAACCAGCGATAGGTGAAATCAAGTAGCCAATGTTATTTTTTGACGGTACAACACGTTTCGTAGACATCGTGGACATACAGCACTGCACTTCAGAGTCACACTGCTAGCATCGATGCAGCAATTCTGTACTGTACAGGAGAGACGTCACGGAGGAGATCGTCTGCAGCGATCAGGACGCAGGACACAATGTGATGTAAAAAATAAGCATGCAAACTTGCACTAAAAAATCTGTGAAACAGCGAGGTGAAAGGTGAACCGCGTTATAGCGAGGGACCGCTGTAATTTTGAAGGTAAGTTACAACATACCCTTCGTAAATACTAATGTATAGAAACCGTTACCAGCAATCATTCATTTTTGTGTGGCTTTTTTCACAGTTTGTTAACATGCTGTGTAGGTGTGTACTTGACTAGCTGATCTCGACATAACGGGGAAACATCTGGTTTGACTATTCTTCACCTGTAGTTTGAATGCTGAACATTTGCCTGTTTAAATCATCAGACCAGTCACTATACAGAGATGTGCTTCTGAATGTGGACGATGTGTCTTCTGCTGCAGTGATGCAGTTCTGCTTGTGTTGAGTGATGTAAACAACTGATCGATCTAAACTCTTTAAACGTCAAAATTGATCATTAGATTTTTTGTGACACAACAGTGGTGAGTGTTCCCACCTTCTGCTCTTTGTAACTTAACGCCATCTTTCCGTTTTCGAGTTTTGGACATGATTGTGGAGGATATCTTCACAGTAGTGATTGACCACAAAGTAAAGCTACCGGAAATGTACAACCCCACATCCGGTCTCAAACCAGGAAGTTAGCATTTTCTCGTGCACAGGGTCAATAAAGCATAAACAGCATTGCAATTATTTAGTTTAAATAAAAAAAAGTTGGGGAACTTTCGTTTACAAAAACAGTGATGTCACGATCCTGGGTCTTAGGACCCAGTGTTTTGAGTTCTAGTTCATTTTGATGTTTATAGTATGTTTAGCTCATTGGGCCTCCTATGTTCATTTGCCTATTAGTTCCCCCTTGTGTTTCAACCCATGTTAAGTCTCCCCTGCCCTTCATGTCTCTCTGTGCCCCCTCTGTTCTGTTTATGGTGTGTCTTTGCATGTTTGAGTTTCTTGTTTTCTGTCACCCTGCATTGTGCATTATGTTCTCATGGTTGGTCTTTTGTTACTCCCTCTAGTCTAGTCTCTTGTGCTCAAAGCTGAGTATTTCCCTCTGTGTATTTTGGTTCTTAGACCTCTGCCTTATGGTTTGTCTCTGTTTCTTAGTTGCTGTCTCCACTGTGTCTAGTTCGCGTCTCTGTGTGATACTTCCTGTTTTACTTTGAAGGTCCATGCCTCATGTGAGTGTTTCTAGTTTTGCGTCTCTGTCTCGTCCAGTCCTGATTTCTCCCAGCTGTGGCCTCCTTCTGTGTCTCATTCCCTCGTTATCCCTCTGTGTATTTAAGCCCTGTGTTTCTCTTTGTCAGTGTCATAGTCTCCATCATAGCTGTGTGATTTTTCCCTGTGGCTCCTTGTGCTTTAGTTTTCCCAGTTTAGTTTATTTTGTATTGTTTTTCGTGTCCCACTCCACACCAGCAATAAAGCTGTGTTTTTTGAGTTTACCTTTTGTCTCTGTGAGTTTGCGTTTGGGTCCTCTCCTGCCTGCCACACAGCCGAATCATGACAAGTGAACCTTTACCAGCTACAGCTAGTTTCCATTTCCAGCCTTTCTGCAACATATATGCTGTCTGCAATATAGCTACAGTAAAAGAGAGGAAGTATTCACATGCATCAGAAAATTTACTAGGAAACTAACATTATAGCTGCAAATGCTGTAACCCCGGAGAGCAGCCATTTGGCTTTTCTACCTTTAAAACCCGGAGAGTTGCCAAATGGCTTTTAGCTAGGCTTTAGCTTCAGCCAAGTGGAAGCTAAATTGGCTAGTCATTCATATGTAAATTGGGTTGTTACCTGGGAATTCTGGAGGGAGGGGAGTGGGGGTGTGTGATTGAGGGCGTGGGGGAGCTGCTAAAAGCTGTGCACTTCCTTTTGTGTTTCATCTTGATGCATTCTCAATCATCCAGGGAAATAAATCTCCAAAAGTCACCAACTTGGAGTGTTTCAGTTTGCCATCTTAGGGAGAAATCAACACACATGGGTGTATTTCCTTTGTTGCTGAGATTTATTGATAAAAACAGTACAAAAAACCAACCATTTGTACACATATTTACAAATAATAATAAAAAGTGAGTGAGTACATTTCAACATTATACCAGTGGTCTGATTGATGCCACAATGGAGCAAATCGAGCAAAGACTGATAAGTTCGCTGCAATTTCCAGTGTGTGGGGATCATTTGTCACCAACTGCATCACGTGCTACAACCCTGGTCTACATATCACCGTTGATGAACAGCTTTTCCCATCAAAGACTCGGTGTTGTTTCCTGCAGAATATTGGAAGTAAACCTGACAAGTTTGGGATCAAGTTGGATGGTTGGATGGTTCGGGAGTACACTGTCCGCAAAGGAACACGGCGCTGGCCAGTCGCCGTGTTTTATAACATGATTGACATGGCAGCACTGAATGCACATGTGCTGTATCAAGCATGCACCGGGACGAAGGAAAGACGGGTGGACTTCCTGGTGGCGCTTGCAACAGAG